GGTATGATGTGACTCATTTGCATTTATTGATTCACGGTAGTGTGACGTGGATTTCAATCAGCGCAATCGTGGAATGCCCACATATATGAAGAGTTCATGGGTTGATCAAAATCCGGGATGGCAATTTCTTACTTGTCCAAAGAAGCCAGTCGATTTGGCAACTTTTTGAGCGAAAGTAAATGAAAATGAAATGATAAAAATCAAAATTTTAATAGATTTTGATAAAAGTCGATTAAATATGTAGTTAAAAAGTTGAAAAAGTTATAGTCCCATGAAATGTCTCGTTAAAAATGAGTTTAAAAAAATGTGTTCTGGAAAAATTAGGATCAAACAGGCAATATATCTTACACTAATCTTCAATTTTATTTTTTTTAAAAGAAAAAAGAAAAAAAATTTAGTTTATTTGGTATGAATATGATCAAGGGTAAATTAGAGATGTGCCCGAGAATGCGAAAGCATTCGAAAAAATACTGGCTACTGAATAATTCTTAAAATAGCACAACAGAAAAAAGTACCAAGATTGCTGCTAAATGATTTCTTGCAAGATTTATGGGATGTTACTACGCAATTTCATGCTCAGACGTTTCATCCAATAATCTCTCTGGGCATTCAAATTCAAAAGAATTCTAACCAAGCATCAATTCAAGGTCCCCAAATTCAATTCCAGGCGGGTTTCTTTCCGAGCTTTTCAGGTCAATAGATTGTAGGATTCAATTGAACTGTGGGGAACTACTCGTATTAACAAAGAACATTGAATTCGTTGTAGCAGAAGATAACTGAAGAGGATTTGCTTAAAATTCGGTTTCATCGAGCTTTATTTCAACAGGCCTTCGTATCAAGCTTTTCTGATATAGGAAGTTTGATGTATTAACTATCAAATGACAACTTTGTAGGGAATGATCTGTCCTATTGTCTTAGTTTTCGTTAGTTGTTTTTTCTATTTCCGAGCAATCTTTTTTTCACCTCCCATTTGTTGATTAATTTTCAGCCAATTTATTGTTTGATATAATTTACCAGATATGTTAACTTCATCTACTCAATGTGTTGATTTTTATTTTATTTTATTTTGTTTTTTTTATATATTTTCTCTTTCAGCTGAAAAATGTGGACCAATGTTCATCTCGTGTACCAAGCATTGTACTCATTTATTCCTTTTGCACTCTGATTCTTATTCCTTTCTGTTGCTACTCATTTCAGGATTCGTCTTTTCATGTTTTCTTCTTAGTAACTGTTGAATGTGACACAAATTTCAGTGGGTATTGAATCCTAGTTGAAGTGGTCATGGAGAGATCAAAATTATAAACCGGGAAGAAAAGTTGCTGGATTTTTGCTAGCCTACCATGTTGGGGTTTTTGATACCCGATAATCTGGGTGATAATTTAAAACAGTTGTCGGATTATTTATTGACACCATGGACTTGGCTCGGCTTGGAGACGAACTACACTTTTGGATGGTTCGGGTTTGGGTTTGATGATTATTTGGTTAGTTGGACCATTTAGTGATTAATATGGAGTTGAATATTGGTCCAGTAGTTTACGTTAATTGGTAGCCCTCTTAGTGAACCTTAGGCCCAATTAGAGTGAGATTCAACTATTGTGATACCATATTCTTTCTTTCCATACCTTTGTGGATTGCTAACACCACCACCCTTCTCTTTTGTGGGGTTTGAGAGAGTTTGGGCAGTCCAAAGTGAAGGCGAAGTCTTGGGTCGAGCCGAGGTAAATCGGCGTTCGTTTGATTGTTTTCTGAGCCCGGAATCAAGATTTATCGAGAAATTTCCTCTACATACCACTAATTGGTCGCTCAAGCAACAAGCGAATTTTTGGAAGCAGCGAACTATCGCCCGCTCGTCGTTGAGCTTTCGCTCGAGTGACAGGACCCTTGCTCGCCTGTAGCCCCCTGCTACTTAAGCTACAGTGCCATTCGGGTTTTTTGCTTTATGTCGATTTCACGCGTATTTTGATCGAGTTTCCATCTTTTAGGTTATTTCTAAGGTAAGGGACAACACTATAAACAGTAGATTCTTCATTCAGCTTAGATATTCCAGATATTGCTGATATTGTATATTCTCTTTAAATAAAATTACTCGATTCCTCTGCCATTCTCTCTTCTTACTTTAATCTTGTTCTTACTTGTACAATCAATACTTCATATTGTTCTCTATTGGCCTCCCTATTTCATAACAAGTGGTATTAGAGTTATTCCGCTTTCAATAAAGTGTTTTCAGATCTGATCCGAATTCTAACAGTAACAAAGGGGGAGCTTTCTTTTGATCTTGATGAAATTTATGAATTTGTTTTAGTTTCATTGCTTCATTTAAA